CTCTTCCTCCTCCTCCTCTTCCTCCTCCTCCTCCTCCTCCTCCTCCTCCTCCTCCTCCCTCCTCCTCCTCCTCCTCCTCCTTCTCTATCCTCCTCCCTCCTCCTCCTCCTCCTCCTCCTCCTCCATCCTCCTCCCTCCTCCTCCATCCTCTCCTCTACTATAGCTAATGTCTCGTCGTTTCTCTTTGTAACGTGGGTAGCTAGGCTCTCTTGCCTTCGCCTTCGTCTTGTTCATGGCACCTCTCTCCCTCCCCTTCTCCTCCTTAACCTTCCTTCTCATCCTTCCCCCTCCTTCTCGACTATACCTAATATCTCGTGTCTTTCTTTCTGTTGCAGCGTGGGTTGGATCTCTTGCCTACGCCTTCGTCTTGTTCATGGCACCTCTCACCCTCCCCTTCTTCTCCTCACCCTTCCTTCTCATTCTTCCTCTGTTATTACTAATGTCTGGCTCTTTCTTTCTGTTACAGCGTGGGTTGGATCTCTTGCCTACGCCTTCGTCTTGTTCATGGCACCTCTCACGGCCGGCGTCAGCATACGTAAGAGTGCGCGTGGCTGCGGCGTTGTCGGAGGACTCACCCTGGCTCTCGGCGCCCTCTTCTGCTCCTTCTCCCTGCGGCTACACCAACTCTTCCTCAGCTACAGCATCGTCGTCGCCGGCGGGGTGACGCTGTGCACGCACGCCGCTGACGTCATCATCACGGACTACTTTAGCGCGCGGAGGGATTTCGTGTTGGGAGTGGTGCAGTGCGGAGACGGCGTAGGGATCACGCTCGTGTCCGTTTTTCTACGTCAGGTGATCAGGTGAGACGGATTTCGATTTTAGATTTTTTTAAATTGTACTATTAGTATTAATTATTGCTAATTATTACTTATTATATTTATTATTGAGATGTTCTAGATGTTCTAGATTTTTTAGACTGGAGGTGGGGTACAGACAGCGTGAAGGGGGTCGGTAGCCCGGTCCCCCACTCCGAGGTTGGAGGGACCGCATGCGCGTTCCCAAAATCTCCGGTAAAGGGGTAATTTTCGCGCGACAAAATCCGGCCCAAGAATTGTAAAAAAGGGGGTGTATTTGACTTTTCACCCGGAGATTTCTTTAAAAAGGGGGTGTTTTTCCTCTCTCTCTTTCATCTTGAATATCATAGAAAACTTTATCAAATCCCGGGATCAAATTCCTGAAATTCCTGCTAGTTTTGAAAGCTCATTCAGGATTATTTAATTTTGAAATGTAAAAATATTGCCCCCTAGTTCCCCTCGATCACTGAACTCTACACTATCCCTCATCTGCCCTCTACCTCTTCCCCTAAGGCCTTCCTCCAACTTCTCATGTCGTCACATTCTTCCGGCCGTCCTCGTGCTTCCCTCATCACTCCTCCGTCTTTTTTCACCCTTCTCCGTTTCAACCATGCACATACACGTGCTCCAACTCGTTTATGAATTTCCTTACTACTAAAATGTTCCGCGAATTCCGCAGGATTTCCAAGGTCATTTGCCTGAGTAATTCCGCTATAGGAATTCTGGCGGCCGTTGCCAGGAAGATCATAATGATTATCATAAATCATAAGTAGTTATGATTATCATAAATCTAAAATGTCACATTATTTGTCATAACTTGGCGATATATTTGACACCAGCCCCAGGAATTATAGTCTAAATGACCATGATCATGTACAGTTGTAGGCCCCCTACATAGAGTCCCTTTATACAGATATAAAGGGACACTAAAAGAATATAAAGGGACACGTACTACCCCTACACTTAGTGACTTACCCGACATCATCGGCAAAGAAAAGCACCACGTTTGGTCGCGTGGCGCCATCTTTCTTCTCGTTTTCGCAACTGTCAGCGCGTAATTGCCACGTTGAGCGAGAAAGGCACAGGACGAGGAGAGCACTACTGACGACAGCATGCTGATACTTAGCCATCTTGATCACCGAATGAAGGCCCCCGATTATCACGATGATCTTTATATAGAAAATGTAATTTTGCTATCTTGTAGCCACTGCTACAGTGCTAGCTAGCGAGCGTACGTGTTTGGGTTGATGACATTAACACAGAGCTATCCACGACTACAAGGCACAACCACTACCTGTCTCCACTCATAACAGCCACTACCCACACAATTTTTTCAAGAAGTTGGAAATCACATGTAACAAACGCTCGTTGGATGGTTATTGTTGGTAAGCCAAATCTACCTTTGCCCACTCGAGCAAGAGACACACATGGCGTAACTTTGTGCTCACTGTACAGCGTCTTGTGTAAACGCTGTACTGATACAGGCACACCAAAATAATGATGCACCCGTCTATATTTTAGTATGTTACTACGCCTCGGAGTAAACCTCACAAGAGCAACAACGTAAACTGCTTGTGCCCATCTATATAGTATATATTCCCCAGGCCAGTGAAATTTCAGGCGATAGCCATTATCAGAGGGACAGATGTTCTCTCATGACTCCGTACTCGCATGTAACCATTTTCTTGTTACTGTGGCGTGTATCGCTGTTCTTATCGTTGTTGTTATCGTGTAAGCTGTTCTTATCGAAAGAATTTCAAGGTTAAGCAGGTAGTTCTGGTTTATATTCAACCGAAGTTACAGGTAAGCCACTGATATGGCTGTCGCTGCACACTGACACATAAATATCTTATATCTTTTATTATTTATTTATTATATTAATTATTATATATTTATGTGTCAGTGACACACTGACAGTGTGTAGCGGCAGCTAGCTCCAAGAAACGGTCTTTGCTAGGCCCAGGGTTAGGATAGACCAATAAATTGTGCCCTAAAATTTTTTATATTCTGATGTTATTTTTGCCCTAAAATAACATCAGAATATACCCTTTTTAGGGCACAATTTATTGGTCTAGGGTTAGGAGACCTGTGTTATCATGTAATACATGTATATTGCCGTGTAATTGACTGTGTATATTGACGTTATATATAGTCACATAGCCTGTTCGGCAGCCAGCGTTTACAGGAAATTGTCGGCAATAATAGGTGAAAGAGAGGGTTCAAGGTTAGAGATGATGTCCAGATTGAGACCTATGTCATTTTCGTAAATGTGGGGGTAGGCCCTTTAAAATCGACAGGGGTGTTCTTGAAGGTGTTGTTTGTTCATTTCCACCCAGAAACATGTCACTTTACAGGAAGTGTGGACAAAAGAGGGTATAGAAACATAAAGACTTTAGTAGTAAATAGATTTCGTATTTATGTAGCACTAGCTGGTCTACCCGGCGATGCCAGGGATAACGGAGAAAAGAGCTAGAATTTAGTCTGCCATGACGGCTGAACTGATGTTTTTCGGATTTTATAAATCTGTCCCAAGAATTTCACTTCTGTTCAGTTCTGCAGCGCTTCTTGGTACACAACATTCTTGGTCTTGCCATCTTGAGAGAGGATGTAGAGGTTGTCTGGGTTACCCACCCTCGAGCACCCCACATAGAGCTGGCCATGGGGGAACACTGGCAGCGTGGCTGACTGAGGTTGAGTCCAACCACCTTGAGGGACTGGCCCTGGGCCTTGTTGATGGACATGGCAAAGCTCAGCTTGACTGGAAACTGCAGCTTCTTGAACTAAAATGACAGGTCTGATGGGATGAGCGGGATCCTTGGGATGAAGACATTTATCGCACATGCCCTTGCCTGTCATGATTTTGGCTTCGATGACTCTGGGCATGAGCTGCTTGAGTGTGAGCCTTATGCCGTTGCAGAGATTGGGAGCATCCAGGTTGCGCATTAGCAATATGGGCGTGCCGACTTACTTTTACTCTTTACTTTTCTGCTGCAGTGTATAGTCGAGCGCTAGGATTCCTCTTTACTTTTCTGCTGCGCTAGGATTCCTCTTTACTTCTCTGCTGCAGTGTATAGTCGAGCGCTAGGATTCCTCTTTACTTTTCTGCTGCGCTAGGATTCCTCTATGCCATTTATGTAGGAGATTAATGCTGATACAGATAATATTAGCGAATGTGGATGAACACATTAGCCTAACATGCTAAATAACTAAAATGACCAGCGTCAATAAACGTAATGACGCGCTACACAGCACACTTTGTACATAACGCTGATACAGATAATATTAATGATTGTGAATGAATACATTAGCCCAGTGCTCGAAATAAGCGTTGTCCGGTTGTCCGAGACAACCAGAATTTGCGCCGGACAACCTAACCAGTCTGAGACATTGTCCGGTGGACAACTAAGAAAAATGTGACGAAAAACGCACTTTATTTTTATTTTTCTGACCACGAATTGAATTTCTTTCAGCTGTCGATCAGCCTGCATTGCGTCGATAGCTAGTGTTGTTTCGCGGCTTCTCATTGGTCAGCAATGCCGTGTAACATGGGTGCTTTGGCCAATAAGTATGCGTATCACAAATCACGTTCGTAGCGACAACAAATTTGACTGTGTGAACAAGTTTCATCGGCGAGTAAACAGGCAACTACTTATCGATCACTACAAACGCTTTTTCTGAAGAGACAAATGACTTGTTGCTGGTAGATTTGTTGTGGCAGTGATGTAATCGAATCTGCCTGAGAGGTAAACATTAAGTATGAGTGAATACCTTGAAACCCGATGTATATGTCCGGAATGATCTATGTTAAAGTATGTTTCTATGATGAGATCGAGGTATGTTGGTCAAAGAATAAGAAAATTTGATATCATTGTTGCATTAGATATTGATCAATACATCCTTGTAAGTGCTGCACCACAGGCACAAATGTTGTGTTGTTTGTGCCCATGTGTGGCAGCATTTAGCCTTTTGTGGTAAAGCTAATTATGTCACTGTGATTAAAAGATATGGTATTGTATATCTGGTGTTGGTTTGTTCTGGTGTTGTATTCGTGTGAATGCCTTGCTCATGGCCAGCCGGTTTTGTGCTTCACTGTATTGGTCGAGTCGCAGTCAGGTTTATATTAGCGGTAAACTGGTTTACACAAGTATTGGTGTACTCAAGTATTTTTGCTTGACAGTGGCTCTGTGATACTGCAAAACTGTTACTAGCCGGTTCACCTTTAGTGATTGCAGCTATTACTGCTGTAGGCTATAGAATGGTTAGGCCAAAACAAAATATAGGTGTGGTTACGTTTTCCCGACCGACCCTATTTATTCCCAGCGACCCTAAACATTTAATTGTCAATTTTATTTGTAAAAAGTAAAAAAATAAATTTAAAAAAATAAAATAATATGAATTGGACAGTTCCTGCTTCAAAAGGCACAACGCACATCCTTCGGACATGGTTCGTGAATAAAATATTTCAAGAAAATAAAATGTTTTCCCTACCTATACCTACCCTATTTTTTTCCGGCATGTAACGGTAACCACACATATATTTTGTTTTGGCCTTATCTACGTTCACTGGTGTATTGCATGTAAAAGAGCTATGAGTATGTGTGTGATTGAGCAAGCAGACATGCAAGCATTATTCAGATATATTGTGTCAAGGTTGTCCCCATGTACGCCTTTAACGCTCGTCGCGTCCGACAAAGCGGAAGCTAATTTGCGACGTCCCGTAAATTCTCCAACATTCCGCAATTGCCTTATGGACATACCTTAATTGCAAGCTGTGTTTATTTGTTGCAGTCCCAACATAGTCATACTGTGTTTTCACTGTCAATCTCCGAGCTGATAAAATTTACTTGTATATTAGAGCCGCTACAGTCACACCAAGCTCCCGGACCTGGCCGGACGCTGCCGGACTGATCCGGGGAGAGATCCTTGTTGGGTCCTGGACGGTCCTGGATGGTCCGGCCCGGTCCGGGATATCGCCCCGGAAGTTTTAAACTGTTTAAAATTTCCGGGGTGATTCGGGACGGTCCGGGAAGTTTTCCCCATCCAGGGTTCTCCCTACGTTGCGCAAACGGGGCGCGCGCGCCCCGTTTGGGAAAACTCCCCCCTGTTTGAATCGTTGCGCCCCGTTTGGGAAAACTCCCCCCTGTTTGAATCGTTGCGCCCCGTTTGGGAAAACTCTCCCCTGTTTGAATCGTTGCGCCCCGTTTGGGAAAACTCGCCCCTGATTGAATCGTTGCGCCCCGTTTGGGAAAACTCGCCCCTGATTGAATCGTTGCGC